AATAATAAAATAAAAATTAAAATTAAAAACTAAATTAAACTAAAAATAATAGTAACTAAACTACTACGTAGTAAGTTAGTTAGGTTAGTTTGTACTATTATTTTTTGTAAAAAAAGCTTTTTAATATTTTTATTAAGTGTGCCCTAATGAGAAGAGTGGATGTTCAAAATTTTAAGCTATTTGGATTTGTAAAAAAAAAAAATTAAAATTCAACTACAAAATACTGACCATCAGATCAGCGGATATGTATATGGAAAAAATTAACAATAGCTTGGCAGCTATAATGAATAGTAATATAAAGTAGAATGGGAGGGGTTAGTTTTCATCATATGGTTCAGTATGCATATCACTTATGAATTTTAATATTTTTTTAGAAATCTATTCATGATGAAATTTTAGATTTGTATTAAAAAATAGGGTGCACAATTAAAAATATATAAAAAATATTTTTCAAAATATAAAATGATCAAACTATTCCTGAAAAATGATGGGGGTAATTTGTTCATTTTAAATTATTGAAAATAAATTTTTTATATTTGTATATGGTACGCAATATTGTTAGGTATATACACTCAAATTTTTATCTTAATCAGATTTATAGAAAAAAAAATTTAAAATTTATATGATATGCATTTTGGACCACATGAAAATCGAATGGTTGAGATTTCACTTATATTACTATTCATTATAGTTATTCAGCTATTGTAAGGTGTTGTTTAGCATTGGTTGCGGAGGATGGAACACCAATTCCTACGGATAGCACTCGAAGAAAGGGCGGACGAAGAGGGAGCAGGCTTTGATTTCTGCTTTCCTTTTTATCCTTCTATGCTCGCCACCCAAATTAAGTTTTCGAACTTTTTGCTGTGGACCTTAGATGGTGATGCATGTCATATTACTTGCTGTGCTTCCTTCAAATCGTATTCATATCAACAAGCAATTCATGCGATTATGATTTTGTTAAACTTGCACCCAAGCTTGTGAAAACTTACACGTCAGCCGTGAGTGAGTGTGTATCATATTATTCAGGGTGCTCTACTCTCCACTATTTTTGTGGCAAAAATGCTAAATGCTAACACAAAGCATGCTGTGGTTTAGGTGGGGTTGCTTTGGCTCGATTCAATTTCATTCCGTTAGACATGTGTCCTAGTGAAAGCACAAATTTGCACTTAAAATTTTAGTAAAAGTACTTGGGGCCGTTGGGATAGGAGGAAATTAGGAATTTTGGATATTTGAAATTTAAAAAAATTTATGGATTTTCAATATCAATGATTCTTGTAATGTAAATCTCTTGCTTGGTCATACAATGCAAAGTTCATTGATTGTTTATAGTCATTTCCATATAATTTGTTTGGTAGCAAAATTTGATGTAGTTTCTTTCTAAAATTGTAATATATTTTCTATTGGTAAAACTCAAAATTTGGGATGGCTTTTAAATTTTTTGAGATATTTTTTTTTAGAATTTTGATTCTCTCTCTATAAAATTTTAATATGCCTTTTCTTTTTAAAACTTAAATTTTGAAATAATTTTTCTCAAAATTTTGGGATAGTTTATCGTTTCTAAAATTTAAAAATACTTGCTCTCAAAAATTTAATTTTTGAGAGTTTCACCCTCTAAAAATTTTGAGATGGTTCTCTCTAAAAGTTTTGAAATTGTTTGAGGCACTTTAACGATCTAAAATTTTAGAGTGAATTATGTACAAACTGTAGGGAAATGTTTCTATGCTTTCCCTACAGCATAGAAGTTCTATCCTTTTTTTTATCCAATCGTTCATTTTGAATGGATGGCTAACATTACTCCAATCACAATGTCATGTCTTTATACTCTTTTATTTTTAATTTTTTTTCTATAAACTGTTTTGATACCAAATTTTGGACGTCCATTCTTTTAGTAAACTCGCACTCGTAAAAAATATTAAAATTATTTTTTCAATAAAATAAAATGATCAAAATACCCTTGAAAGTTTCAAGGGGTATTTTGGTCACTCTATTTTATCGAAAAATTATTTTTAATATATTTTATAAGTGTGCCCCAATGAGAAGATGATACGTACTAAATTTCATATTCATATAATTTGTATAAAAAAAAACTAAAAATAAAATACTTTGAGATGTCGGATCTAAGATCAAACGGTGGGTGGCTCTCTTGATCAAAATTGGACGGCTGGACGGTAGGGGGAGGATAGAACTTCTATGCTGTAGGGGGAGCATAGAAAGCTTGCCTCGGACTATATTGGTGGGGAGGGGAGGGGGTATATTACCATTTGTTGTCCAATATGCACAATGTTCATTCTTTTTTCTTTTTAATATATAAGTTGCCTTTCTGTCCGGCGATGCAAATACCGGACATGTGGTTATTATTTCTATTCTTAATTATTTGTTGTTCGGTGTTTAAAATACCGAACAATTACCTTTTTTTTTGTTCGCAAGATACTTGGCCTCTCTCGCTACCCAGCCCCTCTATCTCTAGCTGCCCTCTCGCTCTCTTTCTCTCTCTCAACTTCACACGCTTCTCTTTTTCATTCCTCTATGTTTTCTGGCCGTTTTCATAGCTTTTTGTTATTACTCTCTCTCCACCCATTCTACTGGTCGTGAATTTAATCCAAAGCTCTAAGCTCCATTTAAAATTGCCTCCCTCTTTATACTCTCTCTCCACAGTCCGCACATCCTATCTCTAACTCCCATGGATTTCACCAGTTCCTTTTCTGTCCCCTTTCATCCTTACAAGCCCACTCGAAAACCCAATTTTTCTCTCAAACCCATCATCTCTCACCTATCCACTTTTTCTCACGGACCCATCATCTCTCACCAATCCACTTTCTCTCACAAACCCATCTTTGTTTATGAGCCAATTACCTTCTTTAAAGAACCCATTTCCCCCTTGTCTTTTTTTTGTTTTTCTCTGTCTTTTCCTTTCTTCTCTTGTAACTTCATTACCTTAACGAATATCACTCTTTCTAAAAAGACCCATTTCGTTCTCTCAAAAACCAATGGGCCCCTCTCACAGTCCTATTTTGTCACAAAACTTTCCCTCGCAGCTCAATGCCTTCTATCAAAATCCCATTTTCTCTCTCAAACCCATCTCTCTTAAACCCATCCCTATCTCATTGAGACCTTCAATGGCAAAAGGCATCGATGGCAAATTCTACCCTGACCCAGCTGAGGATGAACCCCCTGAAGATTTTGCTCATGCAGTCTCTAAGTTCCAACAAGTGGGTCGACCAGCTGGTAAGGCTTGAGAGTGACAATAACAAATACAAAGATGAGCAATCCATCTTTCTGGCTGCTATCGCTCAAGAACACGACCCACCGGAACCATCTTCTGAAGCTCCCAATTCACTTGATGATGGTGATGACCTTTTTGGAGAGAGAGACAAAGCCATACCTCTCAAGCACAAGGGATTCGTGGACTAGGGCCTTCTCTCTCCAAACCCACCTAAAAAGAAAGGGGTTAATCCAGGTGTATGAACAGGTTTATAAAAAAGTGAGAGGGTGGGTAGAGAGAGAAAGAGAGAGAGGGGGTAGAGAGAGAAGCCGGGTATCTTGCCAACAAAGAAAAGATGTAGTCGCCTGGTATTTCAAACACTAGATAATAAAAAACTAAAAATAGAAAGAAAGGAAAAATTTATATACGGTTGCATCCTTACATCAAAGCTAAGAATGCAGCCTTATAAATTGCCCAATATTTTGAATGGTCCAAATTTCTCATTTGAACGTCATACGCCAATACTTCCAACAAGAAACATCCAATTACCCTTCTGGTTGTGCGTCTCTCTCTCCACCCTATGCCATTATCTCTCTCTCTCTCTCTCATTAAAACCTTGGCAGTTTTGCGGTGCATGATTCTCTCGTATGGATCTTGATCATTGATATAAATTGAGAAAAGTGGCAACTTTTTAAGGTGAAAGCTCCTTAGTGGTTTTTAAATGCGGTTTTTAGTGTTATCAATGGTGGTTTCTTAGGCTTCCTTTTTCTCTGATTCTAGGCACCTTGTCTGAAGAAAACCACCTTACCTTTTCTGCTCTCTTTGTAAAGTCCATGGCGTTTTCGCATAAGCCCCAATTGTATAAAAATAAAACATATAAAAAAAAAAAACCCAACTTTTTGTGGTTTCTGGTTTGAGCTCTGGGTCCCTATTTTTGTTCTCTCTCTGTACCTCTTCCTAACCCATATTTCTCACTCCCTTTTCCCAATGCTATAATTCTCTCCCTACTTTGCTTCCCTTAAATATCTCCCCAAAATCAAATCTCTCTTTCTTTAAATCTCTACCCCCATATTTATCTCTCTTATTTTCTCTATCGCTCCCTATTAATAAATATGGAAGGTGAAGATCATATTTTAAAGGAAGAGTAAATTTAAGTGGTGCATACTTAGGAGATGTGTAAAACATTTGAAAGGTGACAAAATAATAATTCCTTTCCCTCTTTTGCTTTTGATAGAATTGGTGTGTGGATAGAGAATGAGAGAGTTGAGAGATACGAAGAGATAAATGAAAGGGTAGAATTTTAGAACGAGCCTATTTAGGAAACGTAAAATTACATAGAGAGCATGAGAGAATGAAATCTAAACTTCCTAAATTAGTGCGTGGATTGAGAAGTAGAGCGTTGAGAGAAAGAGAGAGAATTGATAGAAAGAGAGAGAAATTAATAAAAATATAAAACTTTAAAATGAACGTATTGAGGAAACGTACTCTTTCTCTCTCGCACTCCAACGAACTCTCTCTATCATCCTCTTAAATTTCTCTCTTCTCTCTATACGATGAGTTTAGAGCAATGGAAGAGGCATATTCAATGAACTCTCTCAATCTTCTCTCTCTTTATCATCCTCTTAAGTTTCTCTCTTTGCTCTCTCTTTAAACGATGAAATTGGATCATTGGAATAGGTTAATTCCCTCTTACATTATTTGAATTTGGTGTTATTTTTTTCAATAATGATAAACTATAATAGTCGCCTCTCTCTCCCACTTCCCAATGTTATACCTCTCTCTCACTCTTCGTTCTCTCTCTCTGTCTCTTCCCAACAATTATTTCTCTCTCCTTCTTTGTAATGCCATATTTCTCTCCGTCTTTTTTTTCTTTAAATCTCTCCTCCAAAATCAATCTCTCTTTCCTTAAATGTTTCCCCCAATATTTATCTCTCTCATATTCTGCTCTCCCTCTCTTTCTCTCTTTCCATCTCAAATGATATCGAGGTGAAAACTATATTTCGAAATGAGATTAAATTTAGATGAGATGTGATTAGGATATGTACAAAAAATTTAGGTGACAAAATAATTATGCCTCTATCTCTTTCCCGCTTTCACTCTTGGTTGAATTGGTGTGTGGATCGAGGAGTTCATTGAGAGAAAAAGAGAGATATATGAAAGGGTAGAATTTTAGAACGAGCCTATTTAAGAAACATGATATTACTTATAGAGCATGAGAGAATGAAAACTAAAGTTCCTAAGTTGGTGCGTGAAATGAGAAGTAGCGCGTTGAGAGATTGAGAGAGAGCATTGATAGAAAGAGAGAGAGATATAAATAGAAAGATAGAAATTTAGAATGAACTTATCTAGAAAATACTCCTCTCTCTCTCTCTCTCTCCAATGGACACTCTATATCATCCTCTGAAACTTCTCTCTTCTCTCTTATACGATGTAATT